GTTTTACTGTCTTGTTTTTTGTTGTGGTTCTAAATACTATCAAATTGTTGTGGTTCTAAATACTATCAACCTCAGATTTCCAGATTCTAGGCGTTGCGTATCAGATGTGCAGATTTCCTGGTATGATTGAAACGTCTTCTCTAATTCCTCGTCTTGTATTTATGGATCCTTCCCTTAATAATCCCCTGCCAATTATTTCAGCATGTACGTTGGGCTATTTATATTCGATTTTGGGAGATGGGATGCATAGTTATCAATGGCGCAAATGGTGCGCGCCATAGATGCGCCTTTGGCGATCTGCAGCGGAAACGCCACAAATTGGGTCGTGGCGGCCGATTGACTCGTGGCAGCGCCAAATCTGCGCCATCGCCATTCTTGAGCCATTTTTTTAATTTAACCCGACCCAAACCCAAAAAATTAGGCCCAGTTAAGAAATTAAACCTTTAATTAGTAGTCTCCAGCCCCTTAATCTTCCCAATCGATTCCCAATCAACGCTCAAAAACCGCCAAGCCTCCATTCCCAATCGTCTTCTTCTTCGTCTCGTCTTCTTCTTCTTCTGGTCGCGACTCCTCTTGCGACTCACCAAAAAAATTGACGGCGACAGGGGAAATATCGGGTAAGTACTTCCTTTTTCTTTTTTTTTAACCCATGAGTATACTTTTTTTTCTTTTTTTTTGAAAGCTTTTCTTCCTTTATCTATTTTAAGTAATGCAAAGTACTGTGTATTAAAGTTGATTATACTGCCAATATTTTCAAAGGTGATTCACTTTAATATATTTTTTTCACTTTTAATTTTTGAATTATTTTTAAATTTTGATTAAGTTGTCTTGTTTTACTATTGGCACCATGGACCCTTAGAGTGTTTTGGATTTGGAGTGACTTCTCATTTGTGTTTTACTACTTCACTTTTTAGATCAAGTAATCTATTGTTTTTTATAGAATTTATTCCTTATACATGTGCAAATATTTGTAAATTAATATTCTGTGGCTAGTGTCTTGTGGCAACGCCATATATGCGCCATCGCCATCACCATGCGATATTGGCCCATCGCCATGAATGTCGCCATGCGCCATGACAACTATGATGGGATGAGACACCATCTCCAAGATTCCCCCTAGGTATAATCTTATGAGTTCTTTGGCTTGTTCTTCTCTTTGTTGTTTGTTTCTATGGGCTGAACCTGCAACAGTTTGGAAAATTATTCTTTAGGTAATTTAAATTCCATGTATTCAAGAGTGCTCAAATTCAGATGTGTACATTACTTCCTTTGAACATTCTGCATAATAACTTGCAAGGTTTTGACTATAAAGAATACATTTTTTAGCAGTTTTTAAATTATGACCTGTTTTTTACGTCTTTGCCATCCTGTTTGGAACTGAAAATGAGAGGTGTGCAATGTGATTTTTTAAGTTTCAAGGCTATAAAGTAAGGAGTGAGTGGGAGTGAGTGTTGGACTCTGGTAAAGGTTAGGAGTGAGTGTTGGACTCTTGAAATCCATTATGCAAATGGGTTAGAATGGTTGGGTATACACAATTCTTTTCCCACATTTCCTGAACCTAAAACAAGATAACTTAAAATTTAACATCAATTTTTCAAAGATGGGAGATTTAAAGTATTCTATGTTTCTTATGGATTTGAATTGCTTTGTTTTTTTAGACTTGGATATAATGACCATATCACATTTAAAAATATTGAACCAGCATGTTTAGAGGTGTGAAAAAAATACAGTAGCAATTTCAAGTCTAAAGGGTATGAACACACAGTCTTTGAACTCCATTTATGGGTTAAAAATCTAAAATCATAAATCATTTTTTGTTCTGAACTATGTTTAACTTTCTCAATTTCCAATTTATTTTATCATATTAGGTTGTGGTGTAATACCTAGGTTCACAATATGTGTCTTCCTTCAACGATCTTTTAGTTTTAGTTTTTGTGACCCGACACGAAAACAAACCCAAAGTCTAAACCCAAAACTCAAAACCCAACCAACGAGCTCCAAAAACCAGCACCAAAACCCATCCCTAAATTATTAATTTTAGTGACCCGACAACCCAGATACAAAACCCCATCGCAAAGATAGACCCAAACTCTTAATCCTAAAGTCAAATGACAACAAAAAGGAATGGACATGTAAGGTGGAATGATCAGTGGAATAAATAACAAAAAGGAATGGACATGTAAGGTTAGAGTTGTGGAGAAACGGAACATCAAAGACTCAAGGATGAGCCCTAACAAGTACAGACCTTTTATATTGCAGGATGAGGAAGTAAGCTTATAAAGCTTATAAAATAATCAATCTTAGAGCGTACATATTACATGCACTAACTATGTTCCATTCAACCATTTCTGTACAGGGTACCAAGGTTCTTGCTCTCGCAAATAGTGGTGAAATTGAACAAAGTGATAAGATACTCGGCCTCAAAAACACGTACTACATAAGCAATGCTGCTGCCATGCCTAACCAAGTATAGTGGTGATCCCCCATCCGCAAACTATAATTACATTTAGATGTTGAGTAAAAAGACTTGGATTGAGACCAAGTATAGTGGTGATCCCCCATCCGCAAACTATAATTACATTTAGTCTTCATTAACATAATACGGAAAATCACAATGATGTGACATCTAAACTTTTTTTATTATTTTTGCTACATTTAGATTTCATGGCCATTGTGATTCAGACCAGAGAGTATGTCTCCGTTCCTGGACATGCCAAAACCGCACATGATTTCATGCTTGTGAATGAAGAGTAAGTATGACATAGTTATTCTAAGTACTTAACATTGTGTATGTCAAACATTTTTACTTTCGTCTTAAAAAGAATGAAACCAGTTGTGTTGACTCTTTGGGAAGAGTTCCCAATGAATCAAGGCCGGGATATAACATCCCTTTTAGAGAGTGGGCGACACCCAATAATTTTGGGTAAAAGGGTGACCGTTACTCCCTTCAATGGTAATGTCTATTTATCCAAAAGGTCAAGAAACGTAGTAGAAAATTTATGTTTTAGTAGATGAGTTCCACCACGTTAAAATTTAAACACAACACAATAACAAAAATATTACTATACATATATACTTGGATGGAGAGTCAATTTGACAATATTCACCTTGGTAAGAGATTTTCCTATTTATTAACCTCTTTCATGTCCTATTTGGTGACAGGTCGAGTCTTGTTTATTGGCTGGAGCTTGGCGGTGCTTTCAACAAAATGGAAATTTCAACGCCTCCACCGATCAACAAAATGGAAATTTCACCATGTACCGGTATTGGTTTTCCTCTTTTTGTCGGATATCTCCCAAAAACAATTGGCTTAATATGAACTGCTGCACTCTAATCAAAACCACACTATTACAAATAGGTGCTTAAGGCCATGTGACATTCAAATTCCACTAAACTGGCTATATTTACCATGTCAAACGCCACACACAATGGTTGGTCTTCATTCTTAAAGCCTGTTAATGTCATATTCATTCCTTTTGTACTTATTCACAATTTTTTAACATGGGAATAGCTTAATGCACCCCTGCAATTGGTTGTTGGGTTAGGTTCTGGATAGGGATTTTGTTTCTTACTTTGGGGATTTGACCTGATTTTGGGTTTGGTTTTGTGTTAGGTTCTAGGTTGACTTTTAACTTTAGTGTTTGACAATCAAATTTGCGTTAGGTTTGCGGGTACAATCCGTTGGATTTTAATTTTTAGGTCAGAATCTAGGTCGTGTTTTGAGTTAAGGCAATTGCGTTTTGCTGTCTTGTTTTTTGTTTTGGTTCTAAATACTATCAAATTGTTGTGGTTCTAAATACTATCAACCTCAGATTTC